GGAGGGATCTTTCTCAAATTTTAAATGTAGGTTCCCCTTGATCCCTCGTTGTGTATGTTATATTTTGAGACTGATCATAAAAACAAAATGGATTAAAAGAAGAACTAAACAGATCTTTCTCATATTGCAATGATCGATTCTATTTCTTTCACATTAAGTACTGTACTAGTAAATATGTGAAATGACAAACTCACTTTGAAGGTTGGCTTTCATACACATCAGTATTAAGTTTAGATCAAAAGTTACCTCAAGGTGCATTTACTGTTAACATGACTCGATCAAACAGATTAGAGGAAAGAAGGGAAAAGATCGAACTGACAAAGAATTAATGAAGATGGTACAAAGGTGGGCGCCAAGATCCCTCTGGGATCTCTTGTTGATAATGATGTCATGCTGTATAAGAAACTTTTTCTTATTCCAAAAGTTCAAAATAGGCATACAATGTAAAGAAAATTTTCAATACTTGTACACTTTTATATAATTACTGTAATTAGGAAAATTGTGTGTCCCATTCTTAGTACACTTTGGTGCATAAAATTAATGACTATTCAGGACCTATTTTCTCTTATCTTAAATGATTTAACAAAAAACTATCAAAATTAATGGATATCAAATGTAAACCATGTGTTTTCTGAATTACATAAACATACAATAACTCTATAGTAAACACATGTAATACTGGGTAACTACAGCAGACAAAGTTCTGTTTTAGTCCCGATTTCAGTATTGTAATGCTAAATGTCAGGATACCCTACTCTGAGTTGTACATGAAATTTGGAGATTGTTATCCAGGATTTAAATTATATAATCTACAGGGCTAGTGCTTCTACCAGTGTACCTCTGGATGACCAGCAGAGGTGGAATGTTCCAGACCGACTGACGGGATACAGCGCCCTCGCCGAACTCAACCCCAGGCGAAGGTGGAACTTTATACAGGTATGAATACAGCTTAATTTCCAGAGGTTCCACTAAAACAGCAAGAACAGCAAAATCATGGACTGCCCTACAATCCTGGTATAAATGTGTCTAATGTGGACATATATTTTGGGCAGTGTTTTCAAATATTGGGGCAATGTCCTGGTGGTGCTAGTTTAAATATATATATCTTCAGCCTCTTTACAGTACCATACATTCTGATTGGTTTCAAACTGTCTTAAATACCACTGTTGTAAGGATTGTTAAATGTTCTGATTTGTTATTGAGTGTACTTAACTTGCAATAGATAGATTTTTTTGATTTTTAAAAATAAATTAGAATGAAGAAAATATAGGTTGATCAAATAAGGAGGAGTAGTGAAATGTAAAGCTAAAATGCATGAAATCCATATTGTCTCAGTTGGGAGGCCTGTCCCTAATGAAAATGTTCAAGCATGGGATTTCATCTGGTGCACTTTGATGCAAAGTTACAAAACTTATTATGTTAATATTTTGTCTTTTAATTCTCCTTGTCCAATTACATGTACGATATCTTCCCTATGTTCCTCGTTATAACAGTGATGTGTAAATGTGAAGAGTACAATGTATATTTCAGGTGAATGTGTCCCTTCCAGAACTCCAGCAAGTGAGGTAAGCAATGTACTAATTCACCATGCATAGGTTTAGTTCTACAAGCTCTGAAAAGGTCATGGAAACTTTTAAAGTTTTTTAGTAGCAGAACTCTGATAATTGCACTTGATTTCATGCAAAAACATGCATAAAAAATTCTCCACAATGTATAATACCTGTTTGTCAACATTGACATTCATAAGTTTAGTTCATCCAGCTCTGAATAATTTTTCTCACAAACTTAGGTTTGATTTTTAGTACATGTAGTAAAATTCTGAGACACTGTTTTGCCTTTCTCCTTCAAAATACCAAATTTTAGCAGGGCGAATAGCATCAAAGTTTTTCTGTACACAAGGTATAATCTTTTTGCTCCATGTTGAGCCATTGGGCAAAAGTTTCCACAATGCGATCAGTTTAAAGAGTCGCAATGTGAACATTTCCACATGTGAAACGTTTTCACTTTCACAGTAAAACTTAAGGTGATTTCTTCCATTGTTGTGAGTTTATCATTTTACCATAAAGTGAAAGTACCAGTGGAAAAATTCCAATCAGTTAAAATAACTTACCATATGTAATTTCAGATCAAACCATGTCCGTCATTTGGTGTACCCTTTGGATACGGTGCTTGACGACAGCATAGGATGTGCTGTGTGGTTTGCAGCCAGAGGTCAAGGGGTCATAGGCAATGGGGCCCGGCAAGGGGAACCCTATACCAGTACTGCAAGGGTAATTAATGCTTGAAAATGAGTAAATATTCACTTTAATATGTCAGGAGTCATCAACATAAGTCATTCATTAAAATATGTTGCTGATATGTATTCAAAGTATTTGTAACACAGAGGTTGAATTCTCATATTTTCCAAATTGTTATCCTTGTGAATTAATTGTGAGAAGCACAATGACAATATGAAATCGCTCACTGTAAATGTACTTACTGTAGCCAGGGATGTGTAGTGGACCACTACACATCCCTACTGTAGCAGTCTTAAATTTAAGTACACTATTAATTTTAAAAGTTTAGCACTTTAATGATTGACAAAATCACACACAAAATATTTAATAGAAAACTATGTGCAGAAACTACAGTATTAACATGAAATCATTATTAGCCATTATATTTCAAGCTTTATTTTTAAACCTTTAGTATGTATGGATTTTCAGCAATACTTGTGTAAACATTTTCTAAAGGTTGAATTTTTCCCAATATTTATTTTCATGTTAGAAAGATACTTGCCGTTCTATCCTACCAGGTGATACTGTGTGGGATGGGAGCTGATGAACAGCTAGCTGGGTACTCCCGACACAGGGGCAGGTTTAGGTTTGTATTCTTGTACTAAGGAATTAATCAAATAGTCCTCTGTAGCTGTGAAATCGATATCAACCATATTAGTTTGAAGGATTCTTGAGTTACATTTCCATAAGTTTTAATGACGGCAGACATTGTTTAAGTTTTCTTTACAAATTTCCAAAGTAACAGACCCCAGATATGTAACACAATGCTTCAGTACTGATGGTGCCTTGTGTTTAGTCTGTATGACGTCCTATTTGTTTATAGTGAGCTAGGATGGCAGGGACTACTTGACGAGGTAGAGCTGGAGATCACACGTATATCTGCCCGAAACCTTGGCCGTGATGACAGGTACAGCAATAGAACTTTATATATAAATGAATCTTCCATAGCAGGAATCGGACTAAAAATGGCTACTTGTAAAAATCTGAATAGTGGAGTTGGTAAAGAAATATAATTCAAAACAATTTTTTAAAACTATTTATATCAAAAAAAAAAATAGCATTCAAAAATATCGTTCAAATTATTAATTATTGCATTGAACTTAATAACTATTAAAAACTGTCACCAGCCTCAGTTGGCTATGAGGTCTAGGTTGGTGTTCGAACCCAAGTAGGCTTGTAGGCTTGGGTTTGATGGTGTCTTCATAATATGTGTCTGACTGTCAGTATTGTAAAGATATTGTTTTGCGAGGGTAGCTCTTGGTGATTGTATCAATTGTCTAGTTCATAAAACATGTAACTCTACAGTGTACATTGAACTTGACCTCAAACACGGTGACGTCTGTGGCACATTTCCTAACTACACATGTTTATAATGGAATGACATAAACTTTCAGGATCATCACAGACCACGGCAAGGAGTCCAGGTTTCCATTCCTGGATGAAGAGGTTGTGAAGTTTCTCAGTGGTATTCCTATGCAATACAAGGTTGGTACCATGAGCAAGAGTTTGGTCACTGTTATTTTAAGTCCCCCACTGGTTCCCAATGAGGGTGGAGGCTATATAGGTTTGCTTTCTGTCCATCCCTTCGCCGGTCCGAAGAATTTGTTAGGGACATATCCCCCTATTTCACTTGGAGTAACCAGGTTTGTTATGCAAGTACATCTGGGGATAGTGGAGTGCAGAGAACAAAAAGTAAGTCACTGTGACCTATTCTCCTACACTTTTTCACCTGGAGTAACCAGATTTGGTATGCAAAAACATCTTGTGAATCAGAGTGAGATTTAGAAGTAGGTCACTGTGACCTATGCTTTGTTCTTTGACTTAACCTTTCAAAAACATTATCTGGGATATTCCTTCTATACTTTTTCACCAAAAGTAACAAGATTTTGTATGCAAGTACACCTTGGGATTGTGGATTGGAGTGTACGAGAAGTAGGTTTCTGTGACCTGTGCTTTGACATTTGACCTCAACCTTTCAAAAAGTTTATCACAGGCATATATCTCCTATACTATTTTACCAGCATTTACCAATCTTAGTATGCATGTGTATCTTATTTTCATCCATATGCCTAAATTAATGCAGTAGTGTGCTTGCATGTAGGCTAAAGAGATCAAAATCGAAGTTGATAATTAATGCAATTTACTACATGTAGAGAAAATATAATTTCACACTAAACCATTCAAGCTGTTTTAGAAACAATATCAGAAAAGCGAGGGCAGGCAATTATCTTTAATTACAAATGGCATTTTTTTCTTTTCTATGTGATCCAACTTACAAATATTTATGATTACCCCCTCCATGCAATGAATTGAGGAGTCACAGTGTTTTGTTTGTATGTTTTAAGCCCTTTGTCGTCACTTCTGAATGGAATTTCATGAAACTTGATTAAAGTGTTTGTTATGACAATACTTTGCGTCAGTTTGTGTTTCAAGGTTCTATGCACAATAATAAATTTTCATGGGTAGAAAAATATCCCTAGAGTTTGCTGGATATTTTTCTTCTGTCTCAATCTAGTTTTCCCAAAATACCAGTAGACGTCATGATGCATGTATATTTATTTACAGGTAAATTTGGACCTACCTCGTGGGCTTGGCGAGAAGCTACTGTTGAGAGTCTGTGCTACCAAACTTGGACTACTGTCGACAGCCGTGCTGCCTAAACGAGCCATCCAGTTTGGTTCCAGGATAGCGAAGATGGAAAACAACAAGGAGAAGGCATCAGACAAGTGTAAACGCCTGGCAGAGTGATAATATGTAGGATTATTGAGTTTGAATAAAGTAAATCAATCTAATTTCATGAGTTCATGTATTTTGTGCGGGATTGGCAATGCTTGTCAAGACTAACTGAACCATGGAATATTACCAAAGAACACTTCACAAACGTAATACAGGTTCATGACAAGCTAGCGTTGCTCACCACAAACAATCTATATATATAACATCGAGGACGAACGGTCAAGGTCAAATCACTGCAATCTGGATTGTAACAAATGATCAAATCACGCTAGTCAAGACCATAACTATATGCATGAACCTTCTGAAGAACTATCACAAGATGATGTGTCGCATGCAAAACCAAATACAAGTTGTGCCCAAGGAAATTGCACAGCATCCAGTAAATGGTCATAGGGTAATTTTTGTACCTAATCACTTGGTTCATTTAACACTTTATTTTGAAACTGAATAGGTTTGTGTAGCCTTTTTAGTGTTGACTTTTTTTTAAATTTGAACAGTCATCTTTAATAGCAAATATTCTCTACCCAATCATTAAGAAATACCCATTTTGCAGGGGCTGCAGTGGCCAAGGCATCTGACATTCTGCTACCACTAGGTCGCCATCCTCAATATCCATAGGGTTATGCTCGCCTACGCTCTCTACACAGCGTAGGTGAGCGTAACCCCTGGATATCGAGGGTGCTGGGTCGCAGGTTTGAGACCTACATGGGGCAGTCCCCAGGTACTGGCCTTAGGTTGGTGCTTTTTCTCCAGGAACTCCAGCTTTCCTCCACCACCAAAACCTGGCACATCCTTAATTTAAATGACCATAGCTGTTAATAGGAGGTAAAACACAAACAAACAAACCCATTTTGTAGGGCCATTAGGGAATTATTTGTACCCTTTTAGATTAAATTTTCCTAGCAAATCTTATAAAGAGTTGTCAAAAAATAGTAAAAAAGATGAGACAATGCGCCACAGCAAAGCTCACAAGCCAGGGTACAGCAATAGACAAAGAAATAAAACCAATACATGTTTATTCTATTAAAATTTATTTGGTTCCAATTTTATAATTAAGTAGAGGTGTACTGAGGAAATGTAGTTTGATACCAGACCAATTATAATCAAGACCAATACATTGTAATCAAGACCAGTACATTGTATTCAAGACCAGTACATTGTATTCAAGACCAGTACATTGTATTCAAGACCAACACATTGTATTCAAGACCAATACATTGTAATTGCAATCTATTTCTGTAGGTGTAATTGAGGGTATTACAAAACAATATGTTGTAATTGGCCGTTACATTACAATGTAATCAGCCCCAATGTAACCCGTCCAGTGTAATTGTGGACACCAAGCCAGAGAAGCTTACAGATGACAGCTATATACTTCTTTCATCTGTAAATCAATTTGTTATAAATGTTTCCTACCTACGCTACAATAATATCTATACACATCAAGTTATAATGATAGACAGGAGTGTCTTACCACTTGCCCGGTACTTCGGCTCATGTTTTTTTTTAATATACAATTATTTCAAAACTGAGCATATTCATCATTATGAGAAAAACAATTCCTCTAATCGACTGTTATCTTCTATTAAATGCATAAAAGTATATATTGTTTAAACAGACGTCAACTCTTGCTGGAATTTTCTTCTTCATTTTATGGTATTTCAACCTACCACAACTTTCTCGTCAACTGATCTCTATAAAATAGTCCATTGTTGTTTTTAAGGGTAGTTAGCATTATAACTCAACCCACCATCTGTTTTAACCAGAACGACGGACCAAGTTACAGCTCTAGATCAGATCATTTCTTTATTTCTGTACAAGTGGTTCAATGGGTTAAAATCCCCCAATTACCTCAGTAGACTACTCCAAACTGCTTAGTTAGGTTATTTCAGGTGTAGCTAACCCCTGCCAACCATAATAGAATAGTCTTGACTTTGGCATGGACCAGTCCACTGTGGTCTGTGGGGGATAACAAGGCTGTGTGCACCAAAGGACACCAAACTACTCTAGGAATGCCATTCATTAAAAACAGTAACAAGAACAAAATCACAGTTTACCGACATCACAGTACCTTCTTCAATTTTATAAACAAAATAGTGTGTATTTAAATACACTTAGTGCAGTTACGAGGATGGTGTCATACATAAGGAGTACAACACATTTCCCAGGATGCAGCTGTACCGAGTACATCACATCTCCTTCTAAAAGAGGTCATGACCTATGGAATATGTACAGTATAGATTCATAATAGTCTTGGGTTTTACAAAGCCTGTTTCAACAGTGAAGGTGAATTTCCAAACACAGCTTTTTCGGAGACTGTCGCATGAAGAGTCTAGTTTTTGCATGTGCTACGAAAAACATGTGATCTAGACCTTGATTAAACTATACTTGTACGATTTACAAAAAACTCGACCTAAACCATTTCCAGACTTTGAATAACTATAGGACCGTAATGTTCTATGACAATGACAATGGTGATGATAGTAATGGCGATGACGTTACAAACATATTTAATACACATTTAGTACCATTCTCTAATAGTTGTATATAACTGCATCTGGGATCAATACAGGCGAGTCTTAACTTGTAAATCTACAATTGTTAAATAATTAGAAATTGTACATATTCAGAATATGTTGTTCATGTGTACAGAATTGAACTGAACATTTTTTCAAAATGTTCTGATGGTAAAATAATGAAAAATTATACACTGTATTCTGTATTTTTGAGATGTGACCAGTTTACCAACATTACTGCTGGAGAACGAGTTGAACTCTCATCGGAATACAAAGTGTTCACCGACAGATCAATGTATAAGCCTGTTAAATTATTAAACAACAGTTGAGACGGTTACAAGCACTCAGCCAGTTAAAAACATATAAAAGTGTCGATACTTTCTGATAAAATAGCACATGACGGACAGGACAGTGAAGGACTGAATCTCATCAAATCAACCTCTAGTCTCCGTTATCTCTAAGGGGTTAAATTAGACAAATTCACGAAACAATTATTTTTGCCAGCATATGATCATAGAATTACAAACAGTATTTATAATTATATTCCAGCGACACAGAGAAATGGCTGGATGTCGCCACCTATTTGGCCCGAATGTCCTGCCTTTCAAAAAGTAATCGTGACACAACAGGATTAATTGTATTTCAGCAGTTATATGTGCATGCTCATGTTACAAAAGCTTAAATATATCACTTTCTTCAAACTGCTAAAGCTGTTTAAACACAACTGAGATCAAATTCATTTCATTTTTACATTCCAAAGAAATTGTTTGAATTCACGCCATTTCTATATAAAGCTAGTGCTTTGTGTGCAGGTTCATTTGGTCTTAACCGTTATCAGGTATACAATTTTCAACCTCTTGGATGTATTTGGTATACATATACATAACATTCTATAACTGAAAAGATCCACAGAATGTTCAAATAAGTATTTATCAGCAAATCAAATAATTGCAGGTTATAACAATTGAAAACTTACAACATAAGTGAAAATGAAAAATTTGACAATTCAAAATTGCAATGCCAACAGGCAGATAACAGAACTGGGAAGTTGTTGCAAAAGAAAACAAAAGAAAAAAAATTCGCTAATTTTTGCGATTATTTAATGGCCATGGCTGTGTAGAAGGACACACAGACGAGGAAGAATAGCTGCAGATTGTAGCAGACGACAGTTGATAATAATATGCTTCAATTTAGCTAGTTGTTTTTAGTATAAAGCTTGGACACAATGTCTTACAGAACACAAGACAATAATGAATTGACCAACAGAAATCACCATCACAGGAAAATGACCACAGTTAATCCAGAACTTATTGTAGATTCTCTATCCTTCGCATTTCCTTCATGGACAAAGAAATTGCATGAAACCTGCTTTCCAAAATTATAGACTATTCCCAATTAATGTAAAACCAGTTTCAAATCTGTTACATATCCAGCAAAATCCACAGTAACTTCTTTATACTTCAGTCACAAAGCAAAGTGAATTGGTTTTAACAGCAGATCTACATGAATATTGGCAGGTCAAGAAAACAAAATACTGCTACTTTGAGCAATCTTTGTCATCTACTCTGATAACCTGAGACATTTGTATCATTCCTGATTATTTGTTTGGTCCATCTGCCTTTTGTGAACAGGGAAAGAAAAGGGTAGCCACGCATCTTTTCAAATGGGCAATTGCTGTCACAAGTTTATCACCTTGAATATGAGATCATGCAGGAAAGACTTTGAAATTTCTTTGATGACCGGGGATCCCTTCGAATAATATTTTCCTTTAGAGAGTTGTGGATTAAAATATGAAAATGCTACCTGATCAGATGCCAAGCTAGCTGAATGCACTTTGGGTAAAAATACAACAATATTATGATCAACTGCATCAATGAGTATTCCCACCAACGAGGTAACTTTACAATAGTATTCACAAAATCTGCCGTAGTTTGTCGTTCAATGGGTTAAAAATGCTCACTTATCATGTATACACTGTGTGCCTCCCATTAGAAAAGTGTAACCATTTCGACCAGCTTTAATTGGAATGGACCAATTTCAAGAGTATCATTCCTCTTTGAGGATGCTTTGTACTATTTGTCAGTATGTGTAGGCCATTATTCTGTCAGAGGGATCTTTTACAAGCACTCAGAATGAATATCAAAGAAACACGATAAAGATTTCATCGATCCATTTACTTATTGAACCAGTCTGGCTGGTTGTCCTATTCTACTAGAAGGCCCGCAGGTTAACGTCAGACAAAACAGACATACACTGATGAGAATGAATATTTGAGACATCCAGACCTACAGATGCATAATAAAACCTGACATTTCATCACAAAATCATATCTGCTTACAAAGAGCATGAAGTTCTCCTGGATCAAATCACCAAAAACAGGCCTAGCTCACCACTGTTTTACCAGATACATTTTAAGTTTTTTAAGAATATTTGACACTTACTTATAAATAAGGTGAAAAGTGATATTAACAACATATTAATGTTACAACCTGACATTTTTTTCAATTTAACTAAATACCCTTCACACTGTGTAAAGCTGTTGAAATATAAACCAGTTTTTTCACTTCATATTAGATGCTCAATATAGCTACTAAAAACTGGGTCAAAATTGAATGTTTCCAAAAATTCTGCAAGGTTACACAGTAGACAAAAAAAATTGTATACAACTTTAGGCCAAAATCTGGTATTCATAATTCAGTGAAAAATCAGAAAGGTGAACGAAATTCAAAATATCTGATAACAGTGCTGGGCTAACCTGGCTTTTGTTGATTTGACCCTGATTACAATGAAATGAGTTATGACAAATCCCAGCTACACATCTTCCATCTTCCATGCTTAAGGGTTTTTAGTCTTGATACCACTTGTGGGTACAATATCACTATCATCTCACTCCCTTTCACACCTTAAAGTCATGCTCTGAATACTTCCATTTAAAAATGTTCTGACCCTCCTCTCACACCAGCACCGGCACTTCACACACACAGTCAACACACACCCAAGCACATTTCAAATGCACTAGTAGAAATGATATATAGTCTTTCTCTTTCCATCAATCAGAACCGTTCAGCCTTTTCCAACCAATCAAGAAGGAGCCTACATCCAGGGCAGCTAATCAGGACTGTTTACAGGAGGCCAGCAACCCAGACTTGGCTCGCTTCTTCTTGTGTTTATGCTCTGGAATGGTGTTTTCTTTTACCACTGGTTGGGCATTGTTGTTAGCTGAATCTGAAATAGAAAAAAAAACTAGATATAGGTATCATCCAAAATCTGAATCTGCACTGATCACATTAAACAGCTCTGCTTACTATTCATCTTTCTGCTGAGATGAGGATAGTATGCTGCAGCAAATACAGTTGACACTTACTGTTGAACCAACTTAATGAATTTCATTAATTTATTTCAGCATTTAAACTTATTTGGCAGCCCCCCCCCCATTCAAGACCTTGAACATGGGTCAAGGTCAAGCTCCTGGAAATATATCACGCTTCTATGAGAGTTTTAATAAATTTGACCCCTGTGACCTTTAATCTGAATCAAGGCCATTTCTATTCACTAACTATGTAGACTCTTTGCCAGCAAAGTACTGACCAAATATGACTCTACCCCTTTGGGTTCCTCGAAAGTAGCTACACATTTGACCCCCTGTGACCTTGAATATGGGTCAAGGTAGTCCAGGTTTTTTTTTCTTTAAACTCCATTACAGCAAGCTACTGGCCAAATATCATGACTATAGGTGTATTTTTTCTTCAAAGGAAGTACTGTCGTTTGATCCTTAAAAGATTGCAACCCAGTGATCTTGAATATGGGTCATGGCCTTTTCTTTTTGCAAACAACGAGCCTTATATCATGATCCTAGGTCTTTTGGTTTTTAAGTAGAAGTCTTTTGAGCATTTTAAGGAATTTACCTGCTGTGACCTCAAAATACATTGGTCAAGGTAATTTCTTTCCACTAAATTCCAGAATGTTACCAGTCATTTAGCATTACTCGATGCCTTTTCTTTTCTTAAGAACAAATACCAAAGATGTTATTATGAATATCCTAATTATTGATTGCTGTTTATTACAAGAAAGTTGTGTGATGCCCTACATTTGCCCCTTAAGGCCCTCAAGAATAGGCCAGCCAATTTTCTTTTTTCAACATATGATTTATTTTTACCAAATTTGGTTGTAAATAGCCTTGTGGTTCATGGGAAGAATCGGCTCAAAGAAAACTTTACATATACACAACACAGTACGCAGCAACATATTGCAATAGCTCATTTGACCCTGTTGGCCAGGTGAACTAAAAAGCATAGTTATGGACATATGTATATACCAGTGTATAAATTATGAGAGAAGAACACAGGATAAATTATTCTGACTCGTACAGGGAATATTATCTGAGAAGATCTGTGAGTCGTCATACTCTTCATCATCACTGGGCGAGCCAGAGTGCAGGTCCTCCAGGTACTGTACTACGCTCATGCTACGGTAAACATCACCCTCCTCTCCGGACGGGGGGAAGGGGACATAGTCCGGCGTCCTTGACAGTTTCTTTATTACCCAGCTGTCAACACAAGTAACAAAAGAGCAAATGTATATAAACAACAATTCAACAATTGTAAACAAACTTGTCAACAATCATGTCATAAATAGTAGCCAGTTCAATATCTGTGTCACAAAATTCGTTTTGGAAATATCTTTACTTAGAAACAAATCCAGACTGCAGATAGCTTGTCTAGTACTTTACTGGTAGAGATTAAGGGACATTCACAGCTGGATAACAAGTAGATGGTTCATCACTCCGACAGGAGGCTGCCATAGTTAAATCTTCAGACTTGGGTTAACTACTGTACATGTATAACAGGAAATGTTCGTTGCAGTTAATAGTTTTCGCCAGGGAGGGCAGATTTATCATGACTGTGAATTTTAACACACAATATATAGAAATTACATGTGAAGGGCAAAATTAACACTAGGTGAACCTAAATATTAGCGGAAAAGGGTGAGTATTGGACTCGGTGAAAGTGTCCTGGTACAATGTATACAGTATGCCCAATCTAACTTAGATATGTCATTCATCCTATAAAGCACAACAAAACATTTATTGCAGTTATCACAGTTAGCAATTAATTTGCTACTACAAATATAATAATGTTATTAATTCAACTCAGACTAAACATATCTAAAGATGTTGGCAATTACAAATCTTGACTCTCAGATTTCACCGAACATATCCCCGGTAAGCACTTCTAGCCCAAGATTCGTACTAGAACAGATACAATTGCATCATTACTTACTCATGTCTTTTTATCTGTTGGATACCTAGCCTCTTCTCTGGTTCAGTTTGTAGCATGCCTAAAATAAATTAGTACTGATGTACAAGGTAAGCGAAATTCACAAAGACAGGATATACAGATATTTACCAAAATTCTTTATACAAACATCTATAAGTAAATTAACTGGGGGCATTAAGTGACTTTTGATTATGAATTCACTCGGGCATTAAGTGATAATTTCATACTGATATTTACTGCACTATCTGACACTTTTGTTCCATACAACATTACATTTTCCTCTAGTTTGGAGCTGAAACAGAACACACAGATCTTGCCTACTGACCTGTTAGAAGATTTGACAACAGTGAGTCTAATGTGTCTGGAATGGTATATTCCCCCTTCCCAATATTTACAAATAATCTATAAATATTGTCACCCTCAAATGGATAGAGACCAGTAGTCATGTTGTATCTGAAATGAAAAATACATACTTTTTTCACAAACAGATATTAAACAAACTTTTGAATTTGAAATTGAAAAACTCTGTTATATAATTACTCAAGGCTGTTTAATAAATATGACATCCAAATCCCCTGGGCCATCACTTTTTTTCAAAAGATCCATCGATTGTAAATGTAAATGTTAGTTGACATCCATCAACTCTATTTGCTGCTAATATCATTCCATACCCAGGACCCATGACAATTACCCTGATGTGACGCAAATATATTTTTATAAATACTTTTTTGTGATCAATCAAAATAGTTTTCATTGCTTTCCTGTTCAATATCAAAGTATCTGACAATAAATATGTGTTGTGTTCTTTGTTGCCAATACCTGTAGTACAAATTACCTCCCTTGACACACATCCTGGTAGCTTGAGACCTTAGTACGTAAACGTAGGTGTCTGACGTATATGTACATATATACTATGGTTAGTCCAGATAATCTAATATCATACCCCTATATAATTCATTGTCTCAGATCAAGACATTTACCTGTACAACATTTTATAGTTGTTCCAAAAGTACACCCACCCATAGAAATGAAAATAACAAGACAACAACCACCCACATATGATGATTTTAGTCACTGTACCCACCACCTGTGTAAGAAACAGGTTTGCAGGCCCAGGAGTTATTTTTACAGTAACAGGCCTAAGTGGTTGGATATTTGAGAGATGAATGCATTACACAGCAGACAAAGTGAAAATTCTAATATTATATAACATAAATATAACCACCAATATCCGAAAGTACTAAACAATTAGCCGTTAAAAACACTTCTACATTTATGTAGAATAAATTGGTATGGATTTGATACAGTTTGAATAGTTCAACATACAATGTAACACCACTAGCCCACACATCCACTTTGAAGCCGACAAATGTCTCAAGTCCATTAGCGATCTCAGGGGGCTGGAACGCTGGAGATCCTTGGCTGGTTCTACAAGTGTCATCTTCTGCAAACATGTCCAGTTTCTGTAACATGAATATGCTAATATATGTAAAATTTTGCTTTGCTTTTTCCATTTGGTGTGTAAGTAAAATTCCCCCCTGTTTTTACTTTCATTTACGTTGGAAAATCCGAGAAAGATTTACGTTAAACTTCTCTATTAGGCCCTGCCCCTCTGCCTCCAAGAGGGGGGCGTACCTCCCATTCATACAAAACTGAATCCCCTTTTCCCAGGGATGCTATGCACCAAATTTGGTTAAAATCCCTCCATTCACATAGAAGGAGGATTTTAAATATGTATCCCCATGGGGGTGGGGGGAGAGAGATACTGAAGTGTATAAAAAATTGCTGGGGAGAACACTATATTACAAGTAAAAATTCTTAATAAAGGGAGTGCCTCGTTACTGGTAAAATCTGTTTAAGAAGGGATAGGTTGAATCCTGAGCATTAGCTTATGATAAAAATACACGAAATCCTGGCCCTACCTCTGCCACTCCCAGGTCTGTTATCCTCAAGGTCTCGTCTGTGGTCAGAAGCAAGTTACTTGGCTTGATGTCTTTGTGTACAATGCCCTGTCCATGCAAATATTCTAGACCCTCAACCAGCTGACCAAAATAACTGTGGAAGAAAAAATATGTACAATGTAACTGATAATGTTTATACGATGAAGCTAGTGAATTGAAGTGATCTATTAAGGTGGAGTGATCCGTTAAGTTACACAATTCAAAACGAAAAAAACAATTCATTTCTCAATATCAAGTTGTTATACACCTCACTGCTTAGACATTATTGCATTTGAATTATACATGAAAAATTATTAATTCTGGCTGAACATTTTAACAAACATACAGTGGGCAATATATTGATGCTGAAAATATTGCTAGTTTGCTACCATATATTTTTTTGTATGGTGACAAAGTCATTACAGTGGAACAATCAAATGACAGAAAGCTATAGGCTACAAAACCAGTAAATGTTTATGACCTACTGGATACATTTCTAAAGGCAGCACTTACTTGTGTGACTGACAGATAGGAAATTTCTTGTCTTTGGTACTCTCCAGCATCTCCTGGAGTTCACAAACACAGTACTCCATAATCAGGTACCTACACAACGGTCAAGGTCTATACATGTGCACGTCTCTCATGACAAAACTATAACCACCACAAAACGTTACTCAAACCAATGCTAGTCTAATTAGTGGGGGTTTTGATATCAATTTAGACTGAAAGCTTCAGGTTTACTGAAGCAAAATACAACTCATTGGATGGCATTCATTCAACTCATTTCAATATTTCTAAAAATAATTTCTTAGTATTTCCATTATTACAGACTACTGGCATGGTATGTATGTATATATGTTTGCTGATTCTAGGTCTGCATGCTAACAGCCATAAGACATTTTCATTTTGATAAAAAGCCCCATAGCCCAAACTTTAAGTAGAATTGAACTATTTTAAAATCACTGAATTGTACATTTGTACAACATGAAAAGTGATACTAAATAGCTTCCTTAAAACTTAAACTAGTTCCTTTTCTTTGGGGGGGGGGGATTGCTTTGTATTAGGAAAAATAGAGGTCACTAGCCAGTGCATTAGGGGGTCTAGTCGCATTGTTGATCTTAATTATAAATTGTTTTTACCAACAGAGCAGCTGAGAGGTAAAGGCATCTGACTGTCTACAATCAGTTGCCAAGAACTGGCTGCATGCAGGTTGGTGGTTTTTCTATAGGAACTACAGTTTTTCTCCACCACAAAAACCACCAGAAGATCGTGATAATAAACGAAACAATTTTTTAGGATACATTTTCTGCTTCTCGTCATTGACATGAACATCAAGAAGTCTTATAACATGACGATGCTGAAGTCTCTTTAGTAATTGAATTTCTCTGAAATGAAAAGAAGAAATATCTTTAAAAGATAATCAGCAAAGTTTATAACAATATATGTCAGGTGAAGAGTTACAATATGATTTTTTCCATATATCGTTAATTTCATAATGTTTGCCTGTATACAGCACTATAGTACTGCAGTTACACATAATTTAAAGTATATGTACTACAAATAGATTGGCAGGAATTTTGCACCCTTTAATAAAACTAATAGAGGATCAACTTAAGATGATGATGTAAAGGAAATGATTGCAAACTGACACTGTCCAGGTAAAACCAAAGACTAAACGCTGGTAAATACATTAAGTACCTTACAGTACAACTTAACTGTATATCATAAATAATCTGTTAATTAAGTTATCCATTTGTAACCCTTGTAAATACTAGCTGCAATATACCGCTCGGCTAGAGANCATTTATTCTGTAATTTCTGCCAAACGGTACCTATCTGCTGGTTTCTCAGTCAGTGCTAGAAACTCTTTCTAGCATAGTCAGTTACAAATGCATCTATATAGTGACTACCTTAGTTTTGCTGAAAGCATCATAAGGCTTTTCTCAGCTTTTGGTAAAGGGGCTTCATCAATTAAAATGCACTTATATGACTTTATAATAGATTTGCTGTATGTATGTATAGTTCTAATCATAATAAGTATCATGTATGTATGTATGTATGTATATGTAGAGGCAGAAAAGGTTGCTCATTGGTTGAAAAGGAAAGTGAAGATCAAGAAGGAAGCATTGATCATATTATTCTAGTAGATACAAAACACACCTTTGAACATTTTGTTCTCCATTTGGAATCTTTCTCAATTTCCTCCTTTTTAAGATTTTGACAGCACGTCGACATAAGCTTTCCGTGTCAATACATTCTTTGACTTTTCCGTAAGATCCTTCGCCTAGCATATCACCCATCAGATATTTTCCTATCAGTTTAGCTTTCCGCCGACGAGGCTGATACACGATTTCGTTGGAGTCAACCCGATGGATAATAAATGGCACTTCATCTGGATCTTCCATGATGGATATGAAAGGATCCATGCGGACATGGGGATACTCATCCTCAACAAGCGTCATCGCTTGCGGCACCATGTCTCCATCTGCCATAGCTGCTGGAAATAGGCGAAACTATCCACCGAAAAACTCATTACAACGTTTTTAATTTGACTCTACGGACTGCAGACTCCATATTGTTTTGTCAAATGGAGGCTATTTCCAGTCACGTGATTGACCGATTTATCAACAAGGGAGGCTATTCCTGTAAATAAAAAGGTCTAATGGGTCTGCATGTATGGTTCACAATATATCAGTATAATACCGTCTCGGAAACGTAAGAGGTGAGGCGAAAAGTCTTGCCTTTGTACTCATGAACTAACATCATTAATGCATTCAATTCATACTGTAATTTTTTTCATAAGAAATACACAATATTTAGTATTAAAGCTTACATGTTAAATTCAGAGAATTGCAAAAGTCGCGGGGAGTCTTTTGGTTTTCTCTGACGACACAAATATTGCCTTATTAATAAAACTTGTATTTTAACTGACAGAAATAGTGTAGGGAGTATGATACGATTATTCACAAAATATACATTTTTTATGAATTACACCACAGCACGGTGACTATAACCACCCCTGCCGGTTTACCGTCGCCATCAGAATAATTTCGTTGTTAAGTTTAAATAAGAGCTTCTTTTATTCCAACATAATGCAAACGGACAGTATAAAAGTTGACACAACTTAAGTACCTCTGTCTGTGACTAGTAAACGCAACCAATAGCTGAAATATTTATAACTTCATACAATAGCCAATTAAAACGGTATGGATAGCTATATTAAATGCGTTCATCTGTAAATTGTTTCGGTTAAAATGTTTAAGTAAAGTCTCTTCTCTACGTTTATTGGAATGGAGAATACCAACGAATGCAGTTTTTTCGGTTCAATATGTATAGATATAGGTATGTTTGTTATAGCAAGGAATAAGCTTAAATTTGCAATCAAAGTACGTGGTAATAGATAATATAATAATAATATGTAACCTTATTTTGACCAAGAACAGATGATACCACGGACTAATCTAATTCCGTGATGATACTGATTTTATCTCACTTCACCTTCTTTTCATGAAGATATCTGTATAAACCTGCAGAATGTCTCAAGTTTAAAATATCATTACATATTATATTTACGTTTTGTAAGAATTGTCTCCCTTGGATCAGTTTGGACAGACAGTCTCATTTTGAGGAAAGTTCGACCCACTTTGGAATCACCATAATAATTATTATGACGTCATTGTATACAATGTCATTTCCGCGGGTGATACGACTTTCCATATGTTGTCTGATCCGAACCTGTCCCAAACTGATATATCAATAAATTCGCTTATTACAGGAATATAATAGTCAGTGCCAAGCGTATACAAGTATATCACTATGTGAATCTGTTGGTGTGTTACACTTATGACATAAATAATTGTCCATAGCAATTCAGTTTAACTTGACCGTTTGTTAAGCCAGAAAGAAGTGGGGTCATTTTTCTACCCTCCCAAAAGTAACAAGCATGCATTCTTCATTATGCGGTACTTTTAAAATATTATTATTATCAGTTGAAGGAACATCGCCAGTACTAGAAGTTGACGAAACAGGACTAGTTGGAAGAGCATCGTCAGTACTAGAGGTCGCCAGAACAGAACTAGGTGAAGGAACATTGTCAGTATGACAGGTTGACAGAACAGGACTAGGTGGAGAAACATCGTCAGTACTAGAGGATGACAGAACAGGACTAGCTGGAGAAACATCGTCTGTACGAGAGGTCGACAGAACAGGACTAGGAGGAGGAACATTGTCAGTTTGAGAGGTTGACAGAACAGAACTAGGGGAAGGAACATCGTCATTAGGACAGGTTGACAGAACAGGACCAGGTGGAGGAACATTGTCAGTAGGAGGAACATTGTCAGTTTGAGAGGTTGACAGAACAGGACTAGGTGAAGGAACATCATCAGTACTAGAGGTTGACAGAACAGGACTAGGTGGAGAAACATTGTCAGTAGGAGAGGTTGACAGAACAGGACTAGGTGGAGGAACATTGTCAGTTTGAGAGGTTGACAGAACAGGACTAGGTGGAGGCACATCGTCAGTACTAGAGGTTGACAGAACAGGCCTAGGTGAAGGAACATCGTCAGAACGAGAGGTCGACCGAACAGGACTAGGTGAAGAAACATCGTCAGTACGAGAGGTCGACAGAACAGGACTAGGTGGAGAAACATCGTCAGTACGAGAGGTTGACAGAACAGGACTAGGTGAAGGAACATCGTCAGAACGAGAGGTCGACCGAACAGGACTAGGTGAAGAAACATCGTCAGTAGGAGAGGTCGACAGAACAGGACTAGGTGGAGAAACATCGTCAGAAGGAGAGGTTGACAGAACAGGACTAGGTGTAGGAACATTTTTAGTATAAGAGGTTGACAGAACAGGACTAGGTGAAGGAACATCGTCTGTACGAGAGGTCGACAGAACAGGACAAGGTGGCGAAGCATCGTCAGTACGAGAGGTCGACAGAACAGGACTAGGTGGAGAAACATCGTCAGTACGAGAGGTCGACAGAACAGGACTAGATGAAAAAAGCATCGTCAGTACTAGAGGTTGACAGAACAGGACTAGGTGGAGGCACATTGTCAGCACGAGAGGTTGACAGAACAGGACTAGGTGAAGAAACATCTTCTGTACGAGAGGTCGACAGAACAGCACTAGTCGGAGGAACATCGTCAGAACGAGAGGTCGACAGAACAGGACTAGGTGATAAAAGCATCGTCAGTACTAGAGGTCGACAGAACAGGACTAGGTAGAGAAACATCGTCAGTAGGAGAGGTTGACAGAACAGGACTATGTGAAGGAACATCGTCAGTACGAGAGGTCGACAGAACAGGACTAGTCGGAGGAACATGGTCAGTACGAGAGGTCGACCGAACAGGACTAGGTGAAGAAACATCGTCTGTACGAGAGGTCGACAGAACAGGACTAGGTGGAGAAACATCGTCAGTAGGAGAGGTTGACAGAACAGGACTAGGTGTAGGAACATTTTCAGTACGAGAGGTTGACAGAACAGGACTAGGTGAAGGAACATCGTCAGTAGGAGAGGTTGACAGAGTAGGACTAGGTTGAAAAACATCGTCAGTACGAGAGGTTGACAGAACAGGACTAGATGGAGACACATCGTCAGTAGGAGAGGTTGACAGAACAGGACAAGGTGAAGGAACATCGTCAGTAGGACAGGTTGACAGAACAGGACTAGGTGGAGGAACATTTTCAGTAGGAGAGGTTGACAGAACAGGACTAGGTGAAGGAACATCGTCAGTACGAGAGGTCGACAGAACAGGACTAGATGAAAAAAGCATCGTCAGTACTAGAGGTTGACAGAACAGGACTAGGGGAAGGAACATCGTCAGTAGGAGAGGTTGACAGAACAGGACTAGGTGTAGGAACATCGTCAGTACGAGAGGTTGATACAGAACAGGACTAGGTGGAGGAACATTGTCAGTTCTAGAGGTCGACAGAACAGGACTAGGTGGAGGAACATTGTCAGAACGAGAGGTCGACAGAACAGGACTAGGTGGAGAAACATCGTCAGTAGGACAGGTTGACAGAACAGGACTAGGTGGAGAAACATCGTCAGTACGAGAGGTCGACAAAACAGGACTAGGTGGAGAGACATCGTCAGTAGGAGAGGTTGACAGAACAGGACTAGGTGGAGAAACATCGTCAGTACGAGAGGTCGACAAAACAGGACTAGGTGGAGAAACATCGTCAGTACGAGAGGTCGACAGAACAGGACTAGGTGGAGAAACATCGTCAGTAGGAAAGGTTGACAGAACAGGACTAGGTGAAGGAACATCGTCAGTACGAGAGGTCGACAGAACAGGACTAGATGGAGGAACATCGTCAGTAGGAGAGGTTGACAGAGTAGGACTAGGTTGAAAAACATCGTCAGTACGAGAGGGTGACAGAAAAGGACTAGGTGAAGGAACATCGTCAGTACGAGAGGTCGACAGAACAGGACTAGATGAAAAAAGCATCGTCAGTACTAGAGGTTGACAGAACAGGACTAGGCGAAGGAACATCGTCAGAACGAGAGGTCGACAGAACAGGACTAGGTGGAGGCACATCGTCAGTACTAGAGGTTGACAGAACAGGACTAGGTGGAGGAACATTGTCAGTAGGAGAGGTCGACAGAACAGGACTAGGTGGAGGCACATCATCAGTACTAGAGGTTGACAGAACAGGACTAGGTGGAGGAACATTGTCAGAACGAGAGGTCGACAGAACAGGACTAGGTGGAGAAACATCGTCAGTAGGAGAGGTTGACAGAACAGGACTATGTGAAGGAACATCGTCAGTACGAGAGGTCGACAGAACAGGACTAGGTGGAGGAACATTGTCAGTACGAGAGGTTGATACAGAACAGGACTAGGTGGAGGAACATCGTCAGTGTAAGAGGCTGTCACAGAACACAAGGTGGACATGTTCTGGATTAAAGCCTATATGAGATAACATAAGTTAAGTCACTGGTTAAAGCTATAGATGACAGGCTATAGCTACCGATTTAGGAGAGAGTGACATATTCCTGTCAATCTGTTTCACTCTACTTGGGAGGATGCATGGTTTGTAGGTTGTGTTTGGTGAACCCGGCCATGTTTCAATTACCTTAATTACTACAACTGGACGCGATTAACCCTCACTCCGCAATCAGACTGATAAGCAAGAAATCATTTACCGGGTATATTCTAGAACAGTAAAATTCCGCACCAACTAAGTTTCTCTGTAATTGAAATTTGTAGGTCACCCAACTTTATGTCCACGTGACCTTGATGTCACCTCGTCGGGTTTTACACTCCTCGCGTCTCCCGTGTCACAGTTATGACGTCATCTTTGGCGTTTTTGTCTAAAGAGTTTATGTATCTGTTGCATGACCATCAATTACAGTTTAAGGTTCAATTTGACTATTATACATAAATATGTGGAACGAACATCTCTCTTATAAATAAGAAATTGACATTGCAGTATGTGTAATGCCAGGTAAAATTATTTATTATCATTTTGCCTCGATCGACACCGACACCGATTAGGCCTAGATCCTACGAGATAAAAGTAAAAACATGACCTTCCACTACTGGTATAAGGTGTACCATTTTGCTCCTTTCATCAACCCGTGGCCGACTGTGTATACGCTTACGATCCCGCTACTTAAATCCCCCTTTTAATGCCCCAATTGTTGAAATAATCTCTCACGCCTTTTTGAAGGTAGAATACAACAATAAGTACGGTATTGTATATACCCCGCCAAAGGCCCCCTATCTCGTGTCTACTGTGAATGGTCTACATTCCAACCCTAAGTCTTTTCACCGAACACGCCCTGCCGGAATAATACCCGAGTCGCCGGTTGGTTGGGTTTGAATAGCGACACGGATCGATGGCGCTGCGTACACCACGATTCTCATATTTACACTGACATAATTTTCACCGTAGTACGACAGGAGCGGCAGGAACATGACGTCTGCTCTGGATAAAATGTGATCATTCGTTTTTTGACAGAAGGAATTCGGAATAAGTAAGTAGATTTTGGATCTAAATGGTGTGTAGAGTAATCTTGGATGACGTCTTGATGTATATTGATTCAGTGTTTAGATCGTTACCTGGGACACTATATACATGCAGGTGTCCACAGCAGGTAAAACATAGTTCACCAGTATAGCCTAGGCCTGCATCGATGAAATACCTTACATATTACAGCATCGTCCAAATGGAAGACAATCTATATTCACCAAACGACATAAACAGATATTTGTTCAACTATGAATGGATCTTTAACCGGTAAATAGAAGCGTTGAGGAACCATTATCTTGATTTTATTCCGGGTTTTGGGAGATATTTCATTTTATATTTACATGTGTATGTGTGGTATTATATTACGACGCAGGAATCAGAAATGTTTGTAAAAATGCCATGGTTACATTTAAGTGGCTTCAAAATATGTGGTGCCAATTTCATTGAAGAATGACCCCCAGGCATGTTGTAATGTTTTATTACAGGTAAAATATAACACTTACAGGTGTGTATAACAACATAAAGATCGTTATGAACATGACTGGGAATGTAATTAAGTATCACATCAAATTATACAAAACTTATACAAAGTACAAGCTTTCACTAAGAGTCTGGGTATAACATGGCGGAACTATTGTTTGTTGGGTTCCAAATCAAATACTGATATTATAGCTGAGGGTGGCTACCATATCTAGTACTGATATTATAAGTGAGGATGGCTACCATATCTAGTACTGATATTATAGCTGAGGGTGACTACCATATCTAGTACTGATATTATAGCTAAGGATGGCTACCATATCTAGTACTGATATTATAGCTGAGGGTGGTTACCATATCTAGTACTGATATCATAGCCTAGGGTGGCTACCATATCTGGTACTGAGATTATAGCTGAGGGTGGCTACCATATCTAGTTCTAGTACTGATATTATAGCTGAGGTTGGCTACCATATCTAGTACTGATATTATAGCCTAGGGTGGCTACCATACCTAGTACTGATGTTATAGCTGAGAGTGGCTACCATATCTAGTACTGATATTATAGCTGAGGGTGGCTACCATATCTAGTTCTGATATTATAGCACTGGATGGCTACCATATCTAGTACTGATATTATAGCTGAGGGTGGCTACCATATCTAGTACTGATATTATAGCTGAGAGTGGCTACCATATCTAGTACTGATATCATAGCCTAGGATGGCTACCATATCTAGTACTGATATTATAGCTTAGGGTGGCTACCATATCTAGTACTGATATTTTAGCTGAGGTTGGCTACCATATCTAGTACGGAGAGTATAGCTGAGGGTGGCTACCATATCTAGTACTGATTTTATAGCTTAGGGTGGCTACCATATCTAGTACTGATATTATAGCTGAGGATGGCTACCATATCTAGTTCTAGTACTGATATTAAAGCCTAGGGTGGCTCCATATCTAGTACTGATGTTATAGCTGAGGATGGCTACCATATCTAGTACTGATATTATAGCTGAGATTGGCTACCATATCTAGTACTGATATCATAGCTGAGGGTGGCTACCATATCTAGTACTGATTTTATAGCTTAGGGTGGCTACCATATCTAGTACTGATATTATAGCTGAGGGTGGCTACCATATCTAGTACTGATATTATAGCCTAGGGTGGATCCATATCTAGTACTGATATTATAGCTGAGGGTGGCTACCATATCTAGCACTGACACAGTTGTAATCATATGTACATTAATTACACAAATTTATATACCTGCATAGTAGGAAAGGATGTAGGGTTACCTTACCCAATACAGTGGCATACAAAGAATATCTGGGGTGACATTTTACTTATTTGAAAGGCAATCAGGATAGATTTCATACCTAAATCAAGTTTTAATTTTTGTAGTTGCATAACTGAAAAGTCACATGACAAGGAAGGGAATTGTAACTGTATAAATCTAAGTCTAATTTTGTATCATATATATCGACAAACATCTAGATATACATTACCAAAGTCAGGTATGTACATGTACCTGACATGCATATGTATGTACATGTATAACTATAACTAAAACAGTTACTCATACAAAATGTATGTTAAATGTTAATTTATACTTATACCCTCAGAGGGATGGACCCGGATACTTCAGCCTTTCAGTAAAAAGCTTGGGGTAGACAGGTATATATGGGTGTTACTGTTATCAGACACCTTAATTGCTGATATATATATGTAGATGTACCTTTTGGGCATTGACACAGTTAGATGCCATCTTTAAAATCCAAACCCAGCCCTGTCGGGTCATGTCACCGAGTCAATTTAGCTTTGACCCAGGTATATAATAAACAACACTTCAAATCTCTCCATCGATATCAAATAAAAACTTGGGTAAAATATTCTCAATGTTGAAAATTAAGCTTAAAACAGAGATCAAATATGCTTGTGGTATACTTCAGCTATTTATGGTCAGTTACCAGCACTTTATACTTTGAACTTTTAAAATATATATCAATGTGAACTGGGAGTTAAGTCAGTCAGCCGTGAGATACAAAAATCCTGGTGTGCCAGTACTGGAGCAGTCGCTTACCTAGTAATTAGAAGTCTGCCAGGATGAAGTAGATTTAAAATCTCAAGAGTTCAAGATTTTCCATACACTCAGCCACACTATGTGTGGTACAACAGGTTCCATGTATATGATACATTTCAGTGTTTTTGTTACCTTAATTTTACAACAGCCAGCTGTTCCTTTATGAATTTGGAAAATATAGCATTACATGTATTTGTATTGAAATTGGGAATATATTCCTCAGTTTTTGGTCATTTTGGGAAAATGAGGCTCTTTTTAGCTAGGGGAAACAGCCTGTATTCGGCAGTAAAACTGAGCAAAAAATAAATCACTGTATTTATGTAAAACATTCATGGTGAAAATAATGCTGTACATATGACAAATTTATATGCAAACTTATACAGTACAAACAACCTATTATCTCTGTGAACCGATGTTGTCATGGTGGGTAGGTTAAAAAGAATCTAAACATGTATTACACAGCAATTTGAGAGATTGGATGAGTAAATAATATTTGTTGACAAGGTTATATAAAAGAGTTCTTTTGATGTGCTCTGTTACCCATTCTGGTCAAGCACCATTAGTTGTAAGTGGTGTCTGAGTGATGTAAATAGGTGGAGAATACCTTGTGTTATACCTGTGTTTACTGTGTGATTTGGAATGAAGATTTTTCAGTTAACGACAGACAAACTGATCCAAGTTGAACACACCCTGTTTAAATTAAAATGAAATCATTCAAACTATAGAGTATGACTATACCTGTATAATTTGAGTGTGTATAGTACGCTACTTATATTTTAGTTTACCTGTCATCCGTCAGGTGTCAACATTTTACTTTAAACAACTTCTTCTCAATAACCAATTACAAGAGGCCTATATGGTGATGGTATTTGGCTAGTAGCATGCTGGGAAGATGGACTACCAAGTTTGTTCAAACGAATGACCTTTGCCCATTTTCAAAGTCACAGGGGTCAAATATGTTAAAATCTTTAAACAACTTCTTCTGAATAACCAGGAGGCCCAGGATGATAATATTTAGCCAGTAGCATATGGGGATTAAGGGCTACCAAGTTTGTTCAAATGAATGACCCTGACTTATATTCAAGGTCACAGGGGTCAAATATGTTAAAATCTTTTAACAACTTCTCCTGAATAACCAGAAGGCCCAGGATGATGATATTTGGTGAGTAGCATATGGGGATTAAGGGCTACTAAGTTTGTTTAAATGAATGACCTTTGTCCCAATTCAAGATCACAGGGGTCAATTATCTTTAAAACAAAAGGGTCTAGGGTGATGATATTTGGCCAGAATCATACTGAGATGAAGGGCTTCGAAGTTGGTTTAAATGAATAATGTACCTTTGACCATATT